CAACGTGCTGTGTCCCTTCCTGGCAGACCTACTCGGGTCTCTTCTGCGTCACTGTCAACCCCTACAAGTGGCTGCCCGTGTACAACCCGGAGGTGGTGTTGGCCTACCGAGGCAAGAAGCGCCAGGAGGCCCCTCCACACATCTTCTCCATCTCTGACAACGCCTATCAGTTCATGCTGACTGGTGAGTTACTCGGTTTTCTTTAAAATGACTTGGTTGTGAACACTTGCAGAGGTGAAAAGAAACCTTTTACTGCAAAATAGTTCAGTTTAATAGTGCTGTGAGGGTGATGTTCTCTCATCACTGAAACAGTAGTTTCTTTACTGAAATTGGATAGCATTGGATACATTGTCAGATTTTACTTTGCAGAAATTTGGATATACCTTTAAAGTTCTGCTTTTTCTCTGAGATGAAAGAATTGTTCTTTGAATGAACTTAATTGTTCTTTGAAGTCACTAGGGTGGAGTTTCGAAATCACATTGTGTGTAATGGGAAAGAACATTCAACTTTGGAGCCAGTGCTTCCTATGGTGGCTTTACAAAAACTCAGGAAAGAGTCTCAGTCAGACCTGGCAGTGAAACCAGCTCAGAAAATTAATACTTCCTCCCTCCAACTCAGAAACAATTTTTTCCTTTTCATTCATTAAAATAAATGGAAGCAACACCAAAGAAGGGTAGTGACAACTTTTCTAGCATTGCCTAATTCTACAGTATTTTAGGAAAGAGTAGATTAGTCATGAAAATATATAACATCAAGAGATATATTTTAAATTTTTAAAATAAATCTTCTTCCCTCTTCTATCCCCAATTAGTGTATTTAATCCTGCAGTATTCAGAGAATTAGCAGAAATAAGCTAAGGAATAAGATAAGGAATAAGCTGCCTACTGCCAGTGCATCTTCGAAAAGTTATAGGAATAATTTTATCAAGGATATTCATTACATTTTTATAATCTTTTCTCTGTCTTTCCGCAGATCGGGAGAACCAGTCGATCCTGATCACGTACGTACACCCCCTGCTCGGGTCCCTGCGGGGCTGCCCAGGGCCAGGGCCCCTCCTGCCTGACCACACGCTCTCTGCTTCTCTCCTTGCTCTGCCAGCGGAGAATCCGGGGCCGGGAAGACTGTGAACACAAAGCGTGTCATCCAGTACTTTGCAACAATTG